TATCAATTTGAATATCAGTTTTCAGACATAACACAAAAATAATTATTACTTATTTAGTATCCGCCAGAAGATTGGTGCATTTATTTGAATACATTAACAGGAATTTATCATTTGACTTTAAAATACAATAATATAAAATACAAATACACAGTATGTGAAGTCATCAAATTAATTTATAAAGTATTTTTTCACAATACACATTGCTTCAAAGCAGCTTTACAGAAAATCATGATGTAGCGAATCAGCTCATGGGGAACTAAACATGGTAGGATTACATATAGGCAAGATGACAGGAACGAGTGGTTCCCTCATAAGCCTGCATAAAACAGTATAAAATATCAACATACAACATACACAATGACCTGAAGGATATGTGTGTTCATTCAAAGAAAGGTTTTCCTATTAATTAATTAGATTAGAGTCCATTTTTACTGTGCACTGTGTCTTTCCTATGGAAAATGTAGTGAGAGGGGGAATTCTCAACATGCCATTAGGTCGTAAATGTATCTGGTCTAGCAAAGGTGTCGTGGTTGCCATGGTAACCAGTGTCCTGGGCCTCGTTCACAGACATCTTGGCACCCAGTATGTTTATTGGGTGAGGGGTCTGTGAATGTTTGTTAATCTAATGAATAATTGATTTGTTAAATCAAATGAAAAATGGTGTGTCTGATTGGTCCAGACACTACAATGATGTTACTGTTTATAATATAAATATTAATATCCTCATGGATTATAGTCACATTTAGCAGATTAGAGCTGGTCGATAATATAGTTTACATTTTGTGACGATATAAGCAGGGAGATCATATAGTTTAGATTTTGCAGTGATATAAACAATCACGCTACCGAGATTTGCTGTATTGCTTTATGTGAGTGTACTTTATGTACAGGTACAATTTTATTTCTCCTTATCCAACCATTCATTTATTGATGGGCGATAGTTTAATATATCACTAGGCATATAATCAGTAAATCACAACACTGTTCTTTCCACAAGAGTGCAGATAAGCCTACAAAGTTCATAACAATATGGAAACCTGGCCCCTTCTCAGTTAAAAAAAAAACGAAAACAAGCACCATAAATTCCATTTGATTGCGTCAAGGTGCTAAACAGTGTGTGAGGGCATTGAAAGGCTTTCTGCTTAACTCACGTACTGTAAAATTACACATAATGAAGGAATAAAGGTCCTGATCTTTGGAATGTGTGTCCGCACACATCCGACTCTCCCTGGGTAAACAGTCATGCTATAGGTAGTTACACCTGTACGCTAAACATCTGAAACCAGGACTCGATCAGTGCTTATACAATAAATAACACTACACTTTTTTTAAAATACATTTCTCTACAGGTCTAGCATAAGCTCTGATTGCATACCCAATGGAGTTTACAATTACATCTCTCAAGGGAATGTTGACCTCTACGCATGTGTTTGTGTACGGTTTATTATATTTGTGAGTGTGTGAGCTGGGGATTCCCATAAAAAAACTTTTCAAATACCTTTCGTTCACAATCTTGCTAGTTTTCCAAGTACAGTAGATGGGCGTATTTCAAAGCCAATCTGTTGAGAGTTCAAGTTGCTAATTATAGGACGGGCGTCTGAGGAACTTTCATAAACACAGAGTGCGACTTGAAGTCTTTACAGGCCACACACACCAGAAAACACCATTTCTCCACAAAGAGTTTTCTGCCTTATGAGACCTTACACCGATGCATCCTCCATCACAGATTCCCTGAGGCAAAGGATGCATTTAACACTTTTTCTTCATGACTTCTCATGTTCTGACTAGCAGGGGCGAAAACATGACCATAAGTGTGTGTGTTTGGGGTTTGAGTTGTAGGCAAGAATAGGTTTTGACTGTGTTTTGCCATAGTCTGTCATTGAGCCTCCACACATTCTTTTTCTCCTTCAAAGTGTCAAAACAAACGTGGAAAAGACTGATAGAGGGAAAGAGAGATAAATAGGCAACACCTATAGAAAAATGGATGAACATCAGTAAGAAGTGGATTACTCCCTCTTAATGGTTTAATTCACCCAAAAAAATGAAAATTTGGTCATTAATTACTCACCCTCATGTCGTTCCAAACACGTATGACCTTCGTTCATCTTCAGAACACAAATTAAGATATTTTTGAGGAAATCCGAGAGCTTTCTGACCATGCCAGTAACGCAACTGAAACCTTCAAGGCCCAGAAAGGTATAAGGACATCGTTAAAATAGTCCATGTGACATCTGTGGTTCAACCTTAATTTTATGAAGCTACGAGAATAGCTTTTGTGCGCAAAGAAAACCAAAATAACCTCTGCTTGCAAACAAGGCACAGCACATGCGTGTTCTACGACAGAACGCTGGCTCCTGCGTCAGCAGCACTACACGCATGCATCGTGGTACTCTCATGAACGTGTGTCGACTGACATGGAAGAGAAGAAATTGTTGAATAAAGTCTTCATTTTTGTTTTCTTTGCACACAAAAAGTATTCTCGTTGCTTCATAACATTAAGGTTGAACCACAGATGTCCTATTTTAACAATGTCCTTACCACCTTTCTGGGCCTTGAATGTGGTAGTTACATTGCTGTCTATGCAGGGTCATGGTGCTCTTGGATTTCATCAAAAATATCTTAATATATTATTTATAGTTATAATAAGTAAATAAATAAACAAATACATTCCAGAATGTCAATTATTATAAACAAGATCACAAACAAGCATCTTTTATGTCGAGGCAGGCATATGGCGGTTTGCCCTGGCATTCTCTAACACCCATAAACTACATAAGCTACCGCAACTCTCTTACTTTACAACACACACGGATACAAGACAAACATCTGGCTGAAGACACAACAACGTCTCCAGTTCCAGAGGCAGATGAGCATCTGCAAAGTGACAACAGTACAGGAATGCCAAGCCAGGAAAATGTCATTCATTAAGAGAAAAATTCCAGGTGTAAAAGTATATCACACGGGTCTTACAAAATGCCCATCGGTAACTAAGGAATGACATTCCACAAACATTTGACGACAAGCCACCACATGTGTTGCACTGCATGTAACAAGGAAGCTGAGACCACAGCAGAAGAGACTAATGTGTCTCCAATCAATGTCTCCAGTCGTCGATTATGCTTATGACGACTAGGTAGGGATGCATGACATTTCAGTGCCATTTCATTTTTCTGACCACATTAGTGATTTTATAACTTATAGTTATTGGTCAGTATTGGATATTTATATGTGCTCAATATGAATATCCAGTTTTCATACTGTATATTATAATGTTATGATGCCTAAATGAATAAGTGGACTTATGCACTGTAATTCAGGAATAAAAGGTGGGCTACCATAGACAATGCACTATCAAACCCAGAACTGGAATGTGAAGAAAAAAAATCAGATAGTGAACCTGCAGGTACAGACAAAGCAAGGCAGCTATTGTTGTTTAAAGTCAAACAATCACAATTGAATATGAGGCAGATCACAACTACAATTCCTCCATATCCAGATCGAACTGATAATAGTACAATAAAGGGCTTATGAAGGAGTGCATGCACCCTAAAGCTGGCAGACTTATAGATTTTGTCTACATGCAGTTTTTTCCAAAAATAGGCCAGAGTTCACAAAGTACACATGCTGTAAGACACAAAGACATTCCATTACAATAGCACATGCTCACACACCTTGATCATATTCCTTGTACAATCATTAACACACAGTCTCACTGACCTACATCGAGTCAAGAAGAGTACAATGGGCACAGAGCCCACAGCTTCAGATAATGAACTTGTTCTTGTGCCAGAAAAATACTGTAAACCACAAGTCTGTGTTATCTCTGATGATTAGCACTTGAATTCCTGGGAAGCTGTGGACAAACTTATTCAGGTGTCCATCTTCCGTTATAAAGTTTTAGTGTACCTTGGGTGTAAATGGAATGAAGGAAGCAAATAAATAAACAAACTTCCTCTCATTCAGATTTTTATATTGACCTGCAACATGCCATCCACTTTTTTCCAGTTTTTGAATGAAGTCATGTTTTCATGTTTATTTTACCATGCTATAATTGTCACACACGTTGAGGTGATAATTGCCATTTTTCTGAAAAAAATTGAGATTATAGATTAAAATGTGATTCTAAAATGTGGTTCAAGAACATTTTCAATAGCATTTCAGCTCATTAGAAATGCATCACACTATTAGTTTGTTATAAAGCTATTTTTCAGAATTCTAAAATGGTATATTAAATCATTAAATTAAAATGACACATCTACACACACTTTCAAATCTAGAAAACTTTAATGTAATATATATTGTGTTCATTACAACGATACATTCCTTGAGTAAATTTAAAAAGTACAGCAGCATATATAAACAATTGACCAAAATAATTATAATAATTATAATATCGAAAAGATAGTCTGTAGTCAATTAATGGCCTATCTGAAAGATCACAATATTCTTGAAGTTTTCCAGTCCGGTTTTAAAACTCAGTGCTTTTACACAGCACAGAATCTGCACTTCTAAAAGTTTTTAATGATATCCTTTTAGCGACTGACACTGGTGATTGTGTTATTCTTGTGCTTCTTGATTTAACTGCTGCATTTGACACTGTGGACCATGAAATCTTCATTTCTCATTTGGAACAGTAGGTGGGCATCAAGGGCATATCGCTTGAATGGCTCAGGTCCTATTTAGAAGGCCGGCTCTGTGTCCTCCTCGGCTCCTCTCTCTTGCGGGGTACCGCAGGGCTCAGTTTTAGGCCCTCTCTATACCTATATTACTGGAAAGTACACTATGAATATTCCATCACTGAATAAAAATTAATCACAATGCAATTTTCTGCACACACAAAGAAGTTACAGAAAAACAACAAAGCACAGAAGTGAATAAAGTGCATTTTCTTTGTTTGTTTCTCAAACTCAAGTTAAACCTGCAAATGGCTAAACCAAACAAAGAAACAGAACATTTCAATTGTCACCATCTTCATCTTCAAGTGGAGGATCACTTTTCTTTGAGTACGACATTTCCTGCATCTGAGGGCTTGCAATTCAGACACTGTGGTATTTGAAAATTTCTTCATCACAGAGTCTGTGAAAGGAAAAAGAATTATTCAGTGGTTTTTAATGGTGTTTCAAAATATTATATGTATTATAATTTGCATAGATATGCATTAGAATTTCTTTGACCGTTCTCAGTTTACCTTTCAAAGCTTGGACTAAATCCTCATCAAGCTTGACATGAGCGTCTGTTTTTATGTCGTCACCATCCAATATTCTGTGTTACATTGAACATAAGGTTAGAAGAGACCTAATATCTCTACACCAGAAGTGCTGAATCCAAAGTTAGCATGACACTCAGAGTCCCAACAGCCACTTTATTAGGAAATATGTCAGCCAGAATTAAACGTGAGATTCATTGATATGATTAAAACATACTTACCACTCTCTTCTTTGCTCGTCTTTCTGATCTGATTTCAATTTGTCTTCTATTGCAACAGCAGCAGTTCTGAAAACAACAAATAAAAAAAAAGGCAGACAAATGATGATTAGTGATTTGTTTTCTTTTTAACAATGAGAGTATATTACCCACCAGGTACATTGTAATCAAAAGCTTCTCAGCATTAGCAGTTTCAGATGTCTTCTCTCTTAAAAGCATCCCTATTTATATTAATGGTGTACATGCTGTAATGGCACATTATTCTTTCTGACAATACATTGGACAATTAATTTATAGTTGTTATAAGACAGACAAATGCCACTACGTAGACTTTAAGCAACCATATAGCATATTGCTAGATGACTAGCTAGTAAGTGTTAGTGTGTTACAGCGGTTAACGTTAGCATTCCATGTGTTAACTAACTTTAGCAAATGCACACTAGCACTATCCACCTAGGAAAAACTCAGAAGTGAGCTTAAAGTTAGTTAAAGGGGTCATATGATGCGATTTCAAATTTTCCTTTCCCTTTTGAGTGTTACAAGCTCTTGGTGCATAAAGAAGATCTGTAAAGTTGCAAAGACTAAAGTCTCAAATTCAAAGAGATATTCTTTATAAAAGTTAAGAGTCAACCACGCCTACCTAAAACAGCTCGTTCTAACACGCCCCCACATGTCTACGTCACGATGTGGGAAGATTTGCATAACACCGCCCAAATGTTCACGCAAAGAAAGAAGGCGTAACTTTTATTCTCGCTGTAGTTTTTTTGTTTCTGCCGCCATGTCATGGAGACGCTGTGTGTTTCGTTGTGAAAGCGAAACTACTTTGTTTGGCCTTCCAAAAGAGGACACAACTAGAAATCAGTGGTTAAGTTGTATTTACAACACTGTTCCAGAACAGTTCAACCCAAATATTCAGATGTGTGCAGCGCATTTTACGGAGGACGAGGACCGTTTCCTGGGAGAGTAGCCTACAATGCTTCTGTGCACAAAGTCTGTTTCTATAAAGTGGAATGTGTTTTTTTAACCTTAAACCGCATAAACACATTGCATTACACCAAATACACAAAATAATGTTCTTTTTAGCAACGTCATATGACCCCTTTAAACAAATGGCCAGTAAAAGCTTATCACCAAGGAGGAGTGTTTCTGCGGGCAATATCTTCATCTGTCCATGTCTGCTTCGACTTTGCAGACAAACCTTTAAAGCACCTAATAAGTTGTTCACGGGAGGCATGAGCTGACCTGGTTTTCTAGTCAAGAAAATGAAATAAAGCGAAACTGGGATGATTTCTGCTAAAAACATGTTACCATCACACAGCTGTGTGATTGGACCATTACCTGCAAAGCCGATTTGAAAAGCTTGGCTCTGATTGGTCAAACTGAATGTAACTACTGCGCTTTAAAAAAAGACAACTAACAGAATTGAAATACTTACCAAGAGTCACAAAACACTGAGGTTCCAAATCTAAACACATAGACACTGGGAAAAATTAAGATGTAACAATGAATGTTCTATTTACTTTAACAGTTCAACCAGTGAACAGTTACAAAAAAAAAAAAAAGGAAATTCTAAATTCTGTAATGAAGTACTCACCCTCATGTTGTTCCAAATCCTTGAAGACTTTCCTTCATATTCAAAACAAAAACGGAGATATTTTAATGATGTATGTCCCTCCACTGAAAGTCACCAAAAATGTTCACGTTTTCAAAAAGTTAATCGCAGACAAAAACATTGCAGAAGTAATCCATATGAATCGAGTGGTTTCTTCCAAGTCCTCTGAAGAGACACAATCGCTCTATATGACTTAACAGTTTTAATTTAGACTTTTATTCACATCCATCGACGCACATACACACGCACATCAGAACTGGTAAACGGAAGCTCAGACGTGCTTGCCTGCTGCTCGAGAACCAATCAGATTTTGTCATGCATGCTACGCAAGCACGCCTGAGCTTCCACAAAACGCCTAGTATTCTTTTACAAGTACAAGCAAATAAAACCAAACAACTTATTGATTTTAAGTATGCTTATTACTAAGGCATAGTTGACAAAATTATATTTATAATACATTATAAGTTGGTACAATGTAAGAATGCATTTGCATATTTTATAGACCTAGCTATAATGTATTTGTGTGAGTGAATTAATATACTTTATAGAATATATTAATATGGTAAAAATGTTTTTCAAGATATCTTCCTTTTGAAAAGTAGGCTGAAGCACATGTTCATTACATAAATATTTAAAATATATTGCAGAAGGTCTACATATGGTTATAAATAAGATACATATACTTTAAAGCTGTATCATTTTATGATGTTCTTATACAAAGTAAACATAAAACATACTTTAAGAAAAAGTATGTTTTCTGTAAATACACAAAAATTTCACAAAAAGTATACTTGTGTTAACATATATCTTAAAAGCGTAACTAAGCATATATTTATTACCAACATACTTCTAGTATACTAAAATACATAAAAAATATATTAAAGTGCAATTTAATTAATTTTTAATGCACTTCAAGTAAACATGTCAGGAGTAAAATTGTTCTATAAATATACTATATGAATTTCAAGTACATTTTTTATACATTTAAGAGTGCTTCACCTGGGACATAGAATCCCTACTGTAACAGTCGCAAAGTTTGTTCGTTCAGCACCTACTCAGACAGAATGAAATTTTGGACGCAGCTTAAAACTTAATTTTGGGTCACCTAAGGCACAGCCACCACATATACTGGAGTGCTACCCACATGACTATTGCTCCAACTACAGCTGCATCATTTTACTGTTCAGAACAGCCTTACATTGGGAGCGGACCTACAGTATGATGTCTAAACATGCCGTCTGGGTAGGCAACTGGGGTTTGGAACAGAGCCAATGTTGCAGTGTTTTTCTATTCATTCCAATCCAAGTCATTTAATCTTTTAAGTGAAGTACTTTCAACAGGGAATATACATTTAGTTATCTAGCTAAATGACTGAGCATATAAATAATAAATGCACTGATAATTGCGCTGTGCTACAATGAGAATAATGGGCCAAACTGAGCATGTTGATCCCCCTCTCCCTCACATGTCAAAACTAATGGCCATCCTCAGCACTGCACTCATTCCATTCTCAGTCAAGCACACCGCTAATGAAATCCTGCTCTCCACTCTTATTCTCCACTTCTCTACCTCTTGTTCAGTTTTCGCTCTTTCATTTGATTCAATGCATATAGCACAGAGTGAAATTGACTGGGTTTTAAATGTGCATCCTCTGCAGGAGCACCAGGTCTACATGTCAGAAGCATGTGTTAAAACTGTTAGCCCATTAATTTAGAGCTATCATGATTGAGAAAAAGCATTCAAACACCTCACTTAACTAATAAAACATTTATTACCAGCTTTCCACCGGCACAATCAATGTGCAGCAGGCAAACAGCACTGAATGTATAATCAGTCTAATTACAGGAGTCTACTTATATATGAGTTTAATTAACCTAAAAGGGAGCGTGTTTACACTAAATAAATGCCAATAACTAATTATTAATTATAGCGCATAGATAATTATAGCACATAATTATTTCAGTACATTTAGCACTGAATAGCAGAAGGTTTATAAATGCTTTTTTCAGCATTTTTACACAAAAGTTTTTGTGTTTAAAAATGTGAGATGAAGGGAAGTGGAATTAAAACCCAAGGTCTAGAGAAGCATTTAAAAGTTGAACTACTTTTAACTTGCGGGTCGCATTTTTAGAACACTGTGTCATTCGTGAGCAGCTGCAAAAGATGCAAGACGCAAGCACAATAGTCAAACATGTCTTTCTAGTGCATATTTATATAGAAAAACAATACAGAATGTGTTTTTGTCTTTAAAATGAGAAGCAGGGCAGTGAAATAAACCAAATATATTTTTAGAATTTGCCACGCAAGACTCTGCAAAAGATGCGCGCACAGGCAAAAACATCCACCTAGCAGGTGTTTACATAAAAAAGCAATTTAAAAAGAGACGCAGGGGAGTACAATGAAAAAAGTAACATCTAGGGACACATTAAATTATCAACTTGCGCAACTTTTTAAAACTTGGCATTGTGTGTTTTAGAACGTTGTGTCATTTGAAGCAATGCAAAAGATGCGAGACAAGGTCTAGAGACAAGTTTTTTAAAAGTTGAACTTCTTTTAACTTGAGCAGTTAAATGGTGTGTAATGCACAAGACGCTGCAAAAATCGCGAGTACAACATTCAAACACAACTGTCTATCATGTAGCAGTGCAATGTAATGAAAAAAACGCAAAAGCCTAGAGACGTGCTTATTTAAAAGTTAAGCTTCTTTTAATTTGAGTGGCACATTTTTAGAGCAGCAAGTCATGCAAGACTGCCTAGCGCATGCTTACATTGAAAAAACAATGGAAAAGCAGTGCATGTTTAGGGTGGTCGCTCCAGAGACTTGTGATCTCTCAGTGTTGTGCAAACATCGACAGAACTTTTCCTTGCCTTGTTTAGCAGAGTTCGCCACAGGTGTTCAGTTTCCTCTCCATAATGCATATACCTTTCATTATAAAACACAAAAGGACACAGGGACAAGCAAACACAATGCCTCTGATTACTTCTCTTCAGAGAGAGAAAGGGCAGGCACTGATGCTAAAGAAGAGAGAGGGGTTACAGGATGGTCATGTCACGTTTGCTTAAGTCTAGATTGTTTTGTGTTGAAAAGGGCTCTCGTGGAAGCTATGAAAGACCTCCCGGTTGGGGGGCTGGTGGGGGACTGTGCATTTCAACTTCACTTTGTTTAAGAAGCTTATCCCCGCTCACCTCACTGGAGAGTCAGACTTTGATAATCACATGGGATTGTCTGTGTTGTCATCAGTCATTTTATGATCCCACCTTAAGCTTTTTATCTGACATCTGGAAGGTAAAGACATGACCACCATACTCTAGTATATGCAGAAATCTGTTCAATTACCATGCAACTTACCCAGAAGGAGAGCGGTGAAATATCTGGCCATCACCATGGGCTATCAAACAATCATGGGCAGCTAATTTCCAGGAGCCTGAAAGAATGAAAAACAAGAAAAGGTAAAAGATCAAATTATCTCAGCTGACTACCAAAATGTAGTATCAGGTAAAGCTATTCGTACAGATTCCCACCTTAAGCTTTTTATCTGACATCTGGAAGGTAAAGACATGACCACCATACTCTAGTATATGCAGAAATCTGTTCAATTACCATGCAACTTACCCAGAAGGAGAGCGGTGAAATATCTGGCCATCACCATGGGCTATCAAACAATCATGGGCAGCTAATTTCCAGGAGCCTGAAAGAATGAAAAACAAGAAAAGGTAACAGATCAAATTGTCTCAAATTGTCTATTCGAACAGCATCTGACTGTGAAAAATGCATTCTTAGAATTAAAATATAGCAATATGGTAAGTTTATTACAGAGGCTTCCCCTTGCAAAGCTTTTGAAATTCAAAGGTTCTCATTTTCACAACATTTAATTGTTCACTGAACAAAAACAATTGTGAATATGGTTTAAAATGTTCTTTAATGGTTCCATATTGTGTACTAAATGTAACTATTTGTTTACATTAACTACACAATCAATGGGAAAAAACAGCACTTACCCAGAATTTAAGGTAAGTGCAGCAATTTAATTAAGAATTAATTATTAACATTAATAATCAATATTAAAATTATTGTTAATATATTAAAGCAAGTTAATTGAAATGCTATAAAAACACACTCAAGATGCAATTTTGTATTGTTCTTTCATGTTCATTTTCCCTCAATAACTACAGTTTTTATGAAAGAAAATACAAACGCAGAATTTAAGGTAAGTGCAGCAATTTAATTAAGAATTAATTATTAACATTAATAATCAATATTAAAATTATTGTTAATATATTAAAGCAAGTTAATTGAAATGCTATAAAAACACACTCAAGATGCAATTTTGTATTGTTCTTTCATGTTCATTTTCCCTCAATAACTAGTTTTTATGAAAGAAAATACAAACTTCTGGAATTACAAGGAATTGTTAATTAAATGTACTTATATTGACACTCCCAGTTTATACACACACACATTTATGTTACTACAATATAATATCTTTATCTCAGATATAATTATATATCTGTATTTCTGAATCTGTACTGACTGAGGCTAAGAACACACACCTGTCAAATATAGTAAATGAAAATAAATAAATAAACATTATCTAATAAAATTAATTAAATTAGCACAAAAGTTATCATGCATTACTTTAAAAATATATATATTAGTGCACTATAGTATATAACATACGGCACGATTTAACTAGGCATTTCACCAAATTAATATTGAACATTTAAGGCGAGGTAAACATGAGGAGGTGAGAGTAAAGCCAGCTTTTGTCTGGTGGGACCATGAGTGTGATCTGAAGAGAGGAGCGCCGGGCCCCTGGCTGCAGGCTCTTCAGTGTGCGGGTGAGAGGAGTGACAGGTCAGCTCCACCACCACACAATACAGCGGTCTCCGTTTCCCACACAGCTTCCACTCCATATTTCACTGCCACGGAATCCTCTCACACTCACTCAACTACTATACTGAACAAATTGTTTCACTGATACTATATCAGCAAATACCACAAATACA